GAATTGTGTGGTGTGGGAATTTAACTTCAATAAAGCCATTCTATATGAAAGTAATAATCATAATTGCAAAATGGTGAGATGGGTGATGAGGGAAGCAAGTGAAGGCTGAGATGGAGCAACCTAGACCTCAGTGGGCGTGTGGGGCGTCTCCCGGAGGTGACGTCAGCGGAGGTGATGTCTGTCTGAGGCTGGCAGGCAGGGATGGGAGGTGTGTATAGCCGCCGAGGGGTTTCTGGAGGCCGGCCTGTATGTCCTGGCTGGAGGGGGCCTTCTGCCTGATCATGCAGATTGGATTTTGTACATTTGGCCCCCTGACACCTGGCCTCAGGGCCCTGCAGAAACCCTCAGTCACAGCAGTTTCAGTCCAGAGAACTCTGTGACCCCCCAGGTCACCACTGTGGAGGAGAGGCCGGCTCTCCTGCCAGCCAGTCTGGGCGGGTGGCTCTTTGAGGGCTCTGCCCCGAGGTCTGTCCACCCGAGGGGACCCAAGCGCCCAGAGCAGTTTCCCAGCAGGACAGTGGTCATCCTGCTACTCCCAGCAGAGCCTGTGGGACTTCCATGTTTATTTTCTTCCAGAGCCATGGAGAGACTTGGGCACAAAGGGCCAGCCCAGAGCCAGCAATGCTGGGAGGTGCCAGAGAAGTGTCTCCCCCCATTCCCTGCCACACTCCGTGCAGGGGAATGACAGCTCTGTGTGAAGAACCTCCCCACCAACCCCCATCAGGCTCCTTTGCTCTGCCCTCCCCAGGGCTGTGAGTCTGAGCAAACTCTGGGAGATGGTAAAGAGCAGGGAAGCCTGGTGGGCTGCAGTCCATGGGGCCCCCAAAAGTTGGACACAACAGAGCGACTGAACAGCAACCACCCCAGAGCCTCCCTAGCCTCTGCACCCACTTCCTTGTTGGGGTCTTCTAAGTCACGCTTTTCCTTCTGGCCAGGCCAGGCCAGGCCAAGACAGTGGCTCCCAGAGTCCTGGTGGGGGGTGTCCGGATCCTGGCTAGGAGCTGCCAGAGCTGAGCTGCCAACATCGCATTGTCCGCTGGAGTTTCCCAGCCCAGGAGGCTGAAGGGAAGGAACGTCTGGGCCCTTCTGCAGGTGGGAAAGGTGACATCACACACAGGAGATCTCAGAGCCAGTGGGGCCCCAGAGTCTGGAGGTATTTCTCTCCCCAAATACCAGGGCCTCCCACCTCTCGGAGGGCCTCCTGGTCTCATGGTGGGCTGTGAGAAGCTGGGACCCAGGGGACTGCTGCATTGTTGGAAGTTGAGGGCCTCAGGGGGGCCATGAGGGAGATGGGGGCGGGTTACAGCTGGACCTCTCATGGCCGAAGACACGGCCCCCCAGGGCCCAGGTCTGGTCCATAGCAGGAGGCCCTCCGTTTATGAAGAGAAGTGTGTTATGGAATGTTAATAAATGGAATTGTAGTATAACAGCCCCACTCAAAGGGAGTGAGAGCAAAGTGACTGGGGTGCCCACAAGCTGCTCCCAGCCTTCCTTAGGTGTCAAGGGACACTGTCACCTCCTGACTTTGCTGGAGATGAGGGGTGTCTGTATATAGATTCTTCTCACATAGACTTCTGGGCTCTTATTAATAAGCCCCTACCTTCCACTTTGGAAGTCCTTTCCAGAAAGTCAGAGAAATCCAGAGGTGCAGTAGTGGGAGGAAACTCAGGGAGGGAACCCAGCCACCTCCCCCCCCAATCAGGAGCCCTGAAATAACCTTCATTCTCCCCGTTCCACCCCTCCGCCACCAGTCCTGCAACTGTTCTCATCCCTCTGTGCTGCCTGGCACTTGGGCTGCAGAATTTGTATACTTGTGACCCAGTTCTTTTTTGTCCCCTATCAAACTGACATGTCTCCTGAGGCATGGGTTGTTCGCCCCGTCAGAGGGTCTCTTGGTGGGGGCTGGACCGAGCCCTGCGGTGAGGCCTGGAAACTTCTGTCCCCTTGGTCCCTCCCGACCATCACTTTGGCCCGAGGAGAAGAAAGCTCACCTCTCCAAGCTGTCTTGCCCCAGGAGCAGGACGGTGGGCACAGGACTCCATTCCTGACCTCTTGCCAGACCAGAGAGCCCGGTCCCCCTGGAAACATGGTGGGATGGGCTCACATCTGGTGCCTCCCCGTGCCCACCTCCAAACTGGTTCTCTTGGGAGATGGGGAGGAGCCTGGGGCAGGGCATCTGGGTCATTTCCCAGGGCCCAAGTCTTCTTTGCGGGGTTGGCACACCCTGTCCTGCCCCGCGGGAGAGTCCAGGAGCCAGGGTTCAGTGCTTGTCACTCTCCTGCACTTGGCTAAGCCAAGGGACAGAATTAGCTCTTTGCTTCAACTCTCAAGGCTCTCCAAGTGGCCATTGGGGGAGGGAGGAGGACGCCGCCTCCTGGGAACCTGCCCAAAGGCTTTTTCCCTGGTTCCTCTGGGAAAAGATCCAGAAAAAGAAAGTATCCCAGCTGAAAGGGAGGGGGTAGGGTGGGACTGGGCCTGGCTGTCAGGAGCCCTTGGGGCTCTGGGAAGATGCGAAGTTCTGGTGAAGCCAAGACAGCAATTTTATTCTTAGTGGGCCTTGGGGAGGGCCGGTTGGGCCTCCTCACCCCCAGATCCACTCAGACCCCTGGGGTCCTCCCTGCATTCCTGACCTGCAGGCCAAGTGCAATTTCACGGAAACTTCAGGAGTTGAATCCTCTACGAAATGCTGAGTCCAGAAATAAGCCTGCCACTCAAGTTTGGTCAGAAAAGTCAGGGCTCAACAGACTGAACTCCCACTCCTTCCTCGTCTATCCCTAACCACTGAGATGTGTCACCCCCAGCCTATCTCCTGGGACAGCCAGTGACCAGCACCTGGTCTGTGGCACCAGGACTGTTGAGGGGGGGACAGGCCACACCCAGCAGACCAACCCACATTGTATTCACATGCCAAAGGGGGGCTACAGTGCAGGCATGGGCCTTCCAGGCCTGACCTTTGCAGGCTGGATCCCTTCATCAGCTTTCCCCCAAAACACACTTCAGTGACACAGATCCTCGAGGACCAAAATGAAAGTGGTGACCCCCAAACTTGCTATGGTAAGCCAGGAGATCAGGTAGACCTGGGTTCAAATTCTGGCTCTGGTGTTCACAAGCCCCACAAACTTGGGCACCTTATTTCCCTGCTCTGAGCCTGTTTTCTCATCACTGAAGTGGTCTTTCTAATACTGCCCTCCTGAAAGGTCAGTGCCTCTTTGGGGCTCTGCTCAGAACTTGGTGTGTAACACCTAGAGACCCCCTGTCCCAGAGCAGGATCTGTCTGCCTCTCTCCACCCTCTGCCTGAGTGTGTGCATGCTAAATTACTCTAGTCGTGTCTGACTCTTTGAGACCCCATGGACTGTAGGCTCCTCTGTCCATGGAATTCTCTAGGTAAGAAAACTAGAGGGAGTTACCATGCCCTCCTCCAGATCTTTCCGGCCCAGGAATCGAACCCATGTCTTTTACGTGTTGTGTCTTTTGCATTGGCAGCCGGGTTCTTTACCACTAATGCCATCTGGGAAGCCCATCATTTGCCTACATTTCCATTTTTTCCTTAAGTTCCTATAGACAGCTCCTTCCACAGTGTGGCGGATTGCAGTACAGTTCAAAATCACTGACCATTCCTCCAGGGGGATTGTATACCCAGCAGTATCCACAGCGTGCTTGACCATATGACCTGCTTTGGCCAATGGAATATGAGCAGAAGTGATGCACATTGTTTCCAGGCAGAAAATTTCAGAGCCAGTGCATGTGTTCCCAGGTGTGTCTACTTTTGCCCCAAAATGACATCACCCCAGAAGGAGACTCCTCTCTCAGCTGGGGCCCCAGAGTGAAAAGGACACACAGCAGAGCTGCAGCCACCCTCTGTGGACAGAGGCAATGTAATACAAGCTCTGTTGTTGGAAGCCATGGACATCTGGGGGTCATATTTTGTCTGATACACATTGTGGTTCTTGAAAGTCTTTAAAGGGGTTCCTGAGAGTTGATTTTTGTCTTGACCACTGTTAGATACAATGGATAAATAACACTTAAGATGTTAAACTTTGCAGCTTGGCTGCTATTTGGTTGGTGCTCAATAGACAGTGGATGTGATTGTGACTTGGCATCTTTGCACACAGACGAGACTGATGACTGTTGAGCCGCAAGACTGCTCTTCCTCTCATGTGAGTTGTGTGAAGGTGCAGGCTTCGTGTGATGCTCCAGCAAGCTTCTCCATTGAATTTGTGCCTGTGATTTTCTCTGTCATCTTCTGGAACCACTGCCTGCTCCTGTCCCCCACTCTGCCAACCACCTGCAAGAGCTGTGTAGATGGAGGTGCCTTAGACGAGAGTCCATTGTCCACCGGTCTCCTGGCAGTAACAGAGAACACACACAGGAGGAGCCTTGGGGCATCTCTCCCCACATTTCCTTGGCTGTCATTTTCCCCATTGCCTGAATCCACATCAACCCCTTCTGCCATCCCAGACTTCTCATTCTCCTTTGCTATTTCACTTCTACCCGCTGCGATCAGATCTGACCTGGGGGCCCACAGCACCCTCTTAGCGCTGGCCTTGTGCTGGTGGTCTTCAGAGTTTTGGTTTCTCAACAGCATTCCCCTCTCAGCACATGCTAGGTAGACAGTAGGGGCTTGATAAAATCTGGTTCTTCTCTCCTGAGTTAGTGGCCTGGGGGCTGGTGGGGCCATGGCAGGGCAGAGGGCAGGTCTCTGTAGACTAGTTCCTGATGGTTTTCCACAGATGCAGGTGGGAAGGCAAAGTGCCCCCCAACCTGCGACTGTTGGGAGGGGCCTGAAAGAGCTGGCAAGAAACCAGTAAACCCCTGCCCCCACAGGCCTGGATTCCAATTTCTCTCCTGATTTCTGCCTCTTTCTTATCTACTCCACCCCTGGTAGCTGGGGACCCTGAGCAGACCAATTCTCTCTGAAAGGATGGGATGTTATGGTTGGGATTGGTCCCCTCTCCACTGCCCACCAAGGACCAGAGGTCAAGGATTTCAAGAAAAACACTCACAAAAGCTTTCTCTCTTTATTTTATATATTCCTGCCGTTCAATCAGTTTGCACAAGCTGAGGATGGGTGAATTTTGGAGGCGAAGGAGGAGCATGTGGGCACAGACCATCCCGGAAATAGTCTATGCACATTGCCAAGGCTGGTTAGACTTGAGAAGCGATTTAACAATAAACTCTACAGAATCAGAAATGTACAAAAGTGTCAAGGCAGCTGCTGGCTGATTTCTTGCCTCCCCATCGGGGTCAGAGTTACGCCCATCAGTCCTGTGCAAAGGTCCTGGGGCTGGCTAGGGGGGCAGCCGGATTCTTCCCCAGGATAGAAGCAGTCCTGCTCACCCAGCAGAAGTGTGCTGAGGGACAGGCACGTAGGTGTACGCCCAGGTGCCCATGCCCCCTCAGGTTCCGTGGCTTTTGAGCCTGTATCTCCATCCTGTCTTTATGTCCGCCCTTTGAAAGTGTTCATGCAGGTGTAGGTTCCTGAGAATTTGTGGATCTCCTCGAGGGCAGCCTGTGGGAGTATGCTGAGGGAGGGAGAAAGGAGAAAAGAAGATGGTCAATGGGGGACTAGCGGACGGTAGCCAAACAAGATAGGTAGTTGAGTAGTGGTTCCCATAAGCTCTCCCCACCCCTTCTCTCCAACACACACCATAAGCCAACCCACCCACCCCTCCATGGAGGAAGGGCTTTCAAGTAAGTAGATAAATGAAAGTGAAGTGAAAGTGAAGGTGTTAGTTGCTCAGTTGTGTCTGAGTCTTTGCGACCTGGGGGACAGTAGCCCAGCAGGCTCCTCTGTCCATGGGGATTCTCTAGGCAAGAATACTGGAGTAATTGCCATGCCCTCCTACAGAGGATCTTCCTGACCCAGGGACTGAATCCAGGTCTCTTGCATTGCAGGGAGATTTTTTACCATCTGAGTCACCAGGGAAGCCCAGTATAAATAGTTTTTTACAAGGTAAAGGGTAGGTATAAACAAACTTTCAAAGCCACATTCTGAGCATTTTAGGGTCTATAATTATCTCAGAAATCTATGAACTCCAGATGCCACTTATTCAACAGATATTTACTGTGTGGGGCTAATGAGTTAGGTACTGGGTATTACCTTCTTGTTTTCCCCTACTCCATGTATTAACTTATTTATTAAGCTGCCACAGTGTTTTCCTGATACATTTTACTACCAAAGTCTGTCCTATCTACCATTTCAGTATTCTCAGCCAAGTTTGCTCCACTCCAGAATGGTGTCTTCCTTTAGCTGGGAGCTTCCTTTTATTTCTCACCCTTTATTTCCCTCCAGATAGTAAAACACCTGCATATACTGGGCTGGCGAAAAAGTCCATTCGGGCCCCTTACGACAAACTTGAATGAACTTTTTGGCCAATGTGATACCTTCAGGCCTTGACCTTCAGCGTGACACAATTTCCTGCTTTGTGGGAAATTTCCCAGACTCACCCGGAGGCCTTTCCTGGGGCTCCCTATAGCCCTGTGCTTCTCCAACAAGGCCTGGAGTTGTGCTTGTTATTTCTTTGTTGGGCCCCTGGGTGTCTCTGTGGTAGATATTTCATCTCTGATCCTGGCACCTGGCACAGAGGACCCAGCTTAGAGACACCCTCAGTTCATCTGTTGAATCAAGTCTGAAGGGCTCCAGCCCATCCTAGGTGCAAGATGGGAAAGCCTCATTCCAGCTGGAGCAATCGGGAAGGCTTCCTGGGGGTGGTGGCAACAGAGTTGAGCCTGTGAGGATTTCTCTTGGGGAAGGTGAGAGGGGCGTGCAAGTGCAGGGAATGGGGAAGGGCTGGCCTCTGCTTCTTGTGGGAAAATAGTGGGGGACAGAACAGGAAGTGTAGGCTGGGGGCTTACTGTGGACAGTGCTGAGGTGTTCTAGACAAATTAGCTTTTTTCTAGAATGTCCCCAAAAGCTTCTAAGAAGCTCCCTGAGGTGGACAATTAGCTTGGCTTGGGTGAGTATCCGAGTCCCTGGACTCCTAAGGCTCATGGAGCAGCCAAGGAGCAGCTCAGAGCAATAGTCAGCATGGACTGAGGGAGGCTGAGGTGGGGCTTGCCTGCCTGGCGCCCACCCCCCCACCCCCGCCCCTCCCTCACTCTGTGTCCTGGAAGGGCTTTGAATTTGAGAAGGGATGGAGAAGGGATGGACTAATGTGTCCTCCTGGTCCTGAGGTTATAGCAGCTACTTAGGTGCCCACAGTAGCCAAAGGGGAACCTGGTTTCCTAGGGTTGGACATCTGATAAAGGCACTTGGGTGTTTCACTTCCCAAAAATGCCTTTCAGGAAATGATATAAATGAATTTACTTACAAAACAGATATAGACTTCCAGAACAAAGGGATAGTTAGGAAATTTGGGATGGACATGTACACACTGCTATATTTAAAATGGATAACCAAAATAAATAAATAAATAAATAAATAAAATGGATAACCAACAAGGTCTTATTGTACAGCATAGGGAACTCTGCTTAATGCTATGAGGCAGCCTGGATGGGAGGGGAGTTTGGATACATGTATATATATGGCTGAGTCCCTTTGATATCCACCTGAAACTATCACAACATTGTTCATAGGCTACGCATGTGTGCGTGCTAAGTTGCTTCAGTTGTGTCTGACTCTTTGCGAGACTATGGTCTATAGAACACCAGGCTCCTCTGTCCATGGGATTCTTCAGGCAAGAATACTAGAGTGGGCTGCCAAGCACCCCTCCAGGGGAATCTTCCTGACCCAGGAATTGAACCTGTATCTTTTACATCTCCTGCACTGGCAGGTGGGTTCTTTACCACTAGTGCCACCTGGGAAGCCTGTTCATCAGCTATACTCCAATATAAAATAAAAAGTTAAAAAAAAAGAAAAGGCCTTTCAGGTCAGAGGGGTTCAGTCAGCTGGGGGCTGGGGACCCAGAGGAGCCAAGAGTCCATGGTCACTCGGGGCTCCAGGGTGGATGTTCTCTCTGCAGCAGGAGAGGCTCATGAAAACTGTGCTGAATGGGGCATGTGGAATGGCCTGTTTAGTGTGGGACTAGGACAGGAAGAGTTTTCTGCCCAGAGTCTGGAAAGTTCTAGAATGTGATGCTGGGCAAATTCTGGAGGAGCAAGTTCTCCTCTGTAAAGCCCACCTCCCAAGGTGGTCTCCCTGGTGAATCCCACCTGGCAAGCACTGTGATGTTTCTATGAATCTCAAGCCTTAGGCAAGGAGATTCCTGTCTTCCCCATTAGGTTAAAGGCTGGGGCCAAGATTTAGTCTCTAGACTGGCAGTTCTCAAAGTGTTGCCCAGGAACCCTTGGGAATACCAGAGATCTCTTCAGAGGTCTGTCTGCAAGTGCAAACTACTTTTATTATAGTATTGCGGTAGGATTCGACTTTTTTTAAATTTTTTTATTAGTTGGAGGCTAATTACTTTACAATATTGTAGTGGGTTTTGTCATACATTGACATGAATCAGCCATGGATTTACATGTGTTCCCCATCCCGATCTCCCCTCCTGGATTCGACTTTTTTAACGCTCATTCTCATGAGTATACGGTGGAGCTTTCTGGAGGCTACATGACATGTGACATTACAAAAGATGAAAATCAGAAGCAGATACAAGTATCCATTTGTCTTCAATTAAGTCAGATAATAAAGAGTTTTGCAAAAATGTAAAACAACACCATTCTTTTTACTATATTCTTTTTTTTGAAAAATGCTTACTTTTCACAAAAATACCATTTATGTTAACACCAAATGGATTTTTTTATTGCTATATATAAATGAATACATGTATAAATCCCATACTTTCCCCCCTCAGTTTTAATTCCTAAAACAATAGATACAACTCACATAAATAAAAGAACTCCAGGTTCTTCAACAATTTTTAAATTTGTAAAGGGTTCTTGAGAGCAACAAGATTGACCACCCTAATCTGCAGTAAGGATGTGTGTGCTCAGTCATTCAGTAGAGTCCAACTCTTTGTGGCCTCATGGACTGTAGCCCACCATGGAATTCTCCAGGCAAGAATACTGGAGTGGGTTGCCATGCCCTCCTCCAGGAGATCTTCCTGACCCAGGGATCAAACCTATGTCTCTTACATCCCCCGCATTAGATGGGTGGGTTCTTTACCACTAGTGCCACCTGGGAAGCCTATATTAAGGATAATAATTCCATAACCCATATGCCACGACTCTCATTTTCACACCCACAGCAGACATGACTAATTGATCATGTGGGTTCTTTCTCTTGCCTGAGGCCTCTTCCCCACCAGGGTCCCCTGGGAGGAGGGGACACGGCCTGCACGAGCCTGACTCTGAGCTTCCTTCCTCAGCCCTGTACCTTTTCAAGATAATGAGGGCGTGCATCGTCCACGGCAACAGGAGGAGGGCCTGATTAAGCTGCACGGCTTCCACTGTCCTCCGGGCCACCGTCTCCGGCTTCAGTGGGGGGAAGAGGTTGGGGAACCTGCATGCAGGAAGAGACAGTGTGAGTTTCTCCTAAAAAACAAGTGCTGCTGCTGAACCCCCTCCCTGCCCCCCGTCTCCATCTCTGTCTCTAACATGTCTGTCCATGGGATTCTCCAGGCAAGAATACTGGAGTGGGTGAACATGCCCTCCTCCAGGGGATCTTCCCAACCCAGGTCTCCGGCACTGCAGGCAGATTCTTTATCATCTGAGCCACCAGGGAAGCCCAAGAATACTGAAGTGGGTAGCCTATCCCTTCTCTAGGGGATCATTCCCAACCCAGGAATCGAATTGGGGTCGCCTGCAGTGCAGGCAGATGCTTTACCAGTTGAGCTAACAGTGAAGCCGCTTCTCTGTGTCAGGGTCATCCCTTTGGCTTCTCCTGTGTGGGGAGACTCGAGACCTGTTTGAAATACTCTCCCTGCTCCCCTGCTGCCCTAGAGGCCTCAGGAGTTCCTAATTCCCCCTCTCCTCCCAGCTGGTCTCCTCCTGCCCACCCACACCCCGGGACTGGTTCTCAGAGCATGGCAGAGAGTTCCCCAAAACCTCACCCACACCCTGTCACTGCCCTGCTCCAGCCCTCCCAGGGCCCCCCAAGCTGTCTTCAGCCCTACCCTCTCTGGGCCCACCTCTCCTCCTTCTCTGCCCAGCGATCCTGGCCAATCCTCTCTCTTAAGATCCTTCCCATCTCAGCCATCCCATCAGCAAGGCTCCCTCCTCTCGTCCACTCAGAGTGGCCTCTGATCTCGTCCCCCTGATAATTGCCTTGACTGAATGCACTCCATCGAGAATGGCCTGTCTCTCCTCCTCCACCCTTGAGTTCCCCAAGGGCAGAGGTCTGGGGGGTCTTGCTCCCTGCTATCTGCCCTGAGTGCAGCGTCGGGATATCGTAGGTACTTAATAAGTGTTTGCTGAATGGGTGGACACAATGACGTGGCATTGCCCGGCTGTGTCCTGTGCATCCTGTGCAGAGACAGGGGCTCTGCCCCGCTTGCTGGTTCCCTCCCTCAGCCCTTGACTCATGGATACACTTGCTGATTCATTCAAACATCTACAGAGAGGTCCCACGGGGTTGATAAATAAATGAATGGCTGAATAAGCAAACATCAGGGGCTTCTTATGATTGTTCAAAAGCATAGGACCTGAGACCCCTAACAGTAGTGATGCTCCCTAAGCGCCAGACCTGTGCTGAGCGATCAACCGGCATTATTCACTCCAACTGACAGAAGAAAGCTGGGGCTCTGGTGAGCTGGTTAGGACCTGGAGAGTCAAACCAGGCCCCCAGAAACCCCAGGCCAGTGCCCTGCTTGCTGCTTGTCCCTTCTCTCCTGGGCCTAAAGGTGCAGGGCTGCTGGTGCTGCTGGCTCTGACCTCAGTCCCACAAAGCGTGCTGCTCCAGCACCAGGAGGACTGAGGGTGATAAGTCAACCTCTATCCATGTGGCCCTGGGCAAGTACCTTCGCTTCTCAGTCTCAGCTCCCCCATCTGGGAAATGGGCTTAAGAACTCTCACAAGCTTGCAGAGGGCCACATGTAGCGAGCAGCATTTGTAAAGTGTCTGGTGGCTCAAACACAGAAAAAAATCAGTAAATAGCAATCTACAAACAGCAGCACTCACCTATATGGTCACTCTTTTTTTTTTCAAATACTTATTTATTGGGCTGTGTCAGGTCGTAGTTGAGACCACATGGGATCTTCCATCTTTAGTTGCAGCATGTGTGATCTAGTTCCCTGAGCAGGAATTAAGCCTGGGTCCCCTGCATTGGGAGTGCAGAGTCTTAGCCACTGGACCACCAGGGAAGTCGCTGTTATGGCTGCTCTTGCCAGAAAATCCATCAATTTTGTCCTAGGCACCTGTCTCCAACCCTCCACCCTGAGAAGTTGTTAAGCATGGTTGGAGAGACAGCCAATACTTTTTTTTTTCTTTCAAGAAATAGGGCTTCCTTTGTGATTCAGACAGTAAAGAATCTGCCTGCAATGCAGAAGACCCAGGTTCGATCCCTGGGTCGGGGAGATCCCCTGGAGAAGGGAATGGCTACCTGCTCCAGTATTCTTGCCTGGAGAATTCCATGAACAGAAGAGCCTGGCAGTCTATAGTCCAAGGGGTTGCAAAGAATCAGACATGACTGAGCAACTACCCGCACACACCAGGTACAAATAGACTTTTACTGCTCTTCTAAGCCCTCAGGGCTCACCGGCAGTCCACAGGTAACGAAGCTTCACCTAGTGTTTCCTACCTGCCAGCCAGCTAGTTGATTCACACATGGGAGCTCATCTAGCCTGCAAAGTCAGTATACCATCATCAATCCCTTCTCATGGACTAGGAAACCAAGGCACAGGAAAACTAAGTAACTTGCCAGAGGTCACACAAAGCTGGGGTTGCATGCTGAATCACTTCAGTCATGTCTGACTCTTTGCCTGCCAGGCTCCTGTGTCCATAGGATTTCCCAGGCAAGAATACTGGAGTGAGTTGCCATGCCCTCCTCCAGGGGATCCTCCCGACCCAGGGATCGAACCCGCATTCCTTACATCTCCTGCATTGGCAGGCAGGTTCCTTACCACTAGCACCACCTGTCTCTGCAGTTTGGGCCCACACTCTGAACCACCGGAAAAATGACTTGAGAGAGGCCTTGGATTTCCTTCTTAAAGTGATGGAGAGGAAACCATGCCAGAAGGTGAAAGAGGCACAGGAATGCAAGGTCTGTGAAAGTCCTGCTCACTTCTGTGCTCAAGGTGCCCAGTTAGAACCATGGATCGCTGTGGCTGCATTTCCATCCAGTATGCATTTATTGTTTCCCTGGAGGCTCAGCTGGTAAAGAATTTTCATGCAGTGTGGGAGACCTGGGTTCGATCCCTGGGTTGGGAAGATCCCCTGGAGAAGGGAACGGCTACCCTCTCCAGTATCCTGGCCTGAAGAATTCCTTGGACTGTATAATCCATGGGGTCTCAAATGGTTGGACGTGACTGAATGACTTTCACTTTCACATATTTATTGAGCACTTCCTGTATGCCCAGATGAGAAGAAACTAAACCAAGACATTGTAGGGGGAGAAAACCAGTATGGAACATTCATAGTCATTATTCCAGCACCCTCTAAATTCAGAATCTATGATAATTTGCACATAAATCAGGTGGAAATTAGGCTTCTCTGGTAGCTCAGCTGGTAAAGAATCTGCCTGCAATGCAGGAGACCCCGGTTCAATTCCTGGGTTGGGAATGATCCCCTGGAGAAGGGATAGTTTACCCACTTCAATATTCTTGGGCTTTCCTGGTGGCTCACATGGTAAAAAATCTGCCTGCAATGCAGGAGACCTGGGTTTGCTCCCTGGGTTGGGAGGATCCCCTGGAAGAAGGCATGGCAACCCACTCCAGTATTCTTGCCTGGGAAATCCCACGGACAGAGGAGCTCGGCAGGCTGCAGTCCATGGGGTTGCAGAGTCGGACACGACTGAGCGACTAAGCACAGCACAGCACATAACAACTAAAGTCTGCTAGAAAGATTAACAGCAGATGCACTTGTGAAGATGTTTATTGTTAGAAAAAATAATAATACTGAGCATCTTGTATGCCCCAGGCTTTGCACTAGATACATTACATGTGTTATTTCTAATTCTCCCAATAATCCGACAAGGTAAATATGATTTCCACTGTTTGACAGATAAGCAAAGAAAAGCTCAGACTGGTAACAAAACTGGTTCAAGGTTTCACCACCATACAGTAGCTGAAGTGAGATTCAGAATCAGGTTTTTCTTTTAACTTTTATCGAAGTACAGTTGATTTACAATGTTGTGTTAATTTCTCATATACAGCTAAGTGACTTGTTTAGTTGTGTCCGCCTCTTTGTGACCAGGTGGACTGTAGCCTGCCAGGGTCTTCTGTCCACGGAATTCTCCAGGCAAGAATACTGGAGTGGGTTGCCATTCCCTTCTCCAAGGGCCCTTCCCCACTCAGGGATCAAATCTGGGTCTCCTGTACCGCAAGCAGATTCCTTACTGTCTGAGCCATCAGAGAAACCCTAAGTGACTCAGTTATGCATATATATACACACATACACATGTTCTTTTTCATATTCTTTTCCATTGTGGCTTTTTACAGGATATCGAATATAGTTTCCTGTGCTATACGCTACATTAGTCACCCATTCTATATATAATCTTTTGCCTCTGCTGAGCCCAAACTCCTGCTTCTTCCCTCCCCTCCCCGGCGGCAACCACAAGTCTGTTCTGTTTGTCTCTGAGTCCGCAAAGCAAGGTGTTTTGATTCTTGCTTAGCAAAACCAACCCTAGTGATAATCACTAAGGTGTTCTGAGTGATTCCCATATGAATGTACTGTGCTACATGCCTTCCAGGATCTCATGCAATCCTCACAATGACCCTTCCATGCTATCCTCATGTTTGGAAGAGGATGATGCATGTAATTTAGAAGGCAAAATTACCATTGTATGTTGCTTTGCAAAAAAAAACAAGGAAAATAGTTTTTGGATGATTCCCCATTTTCATTTACCCATAACCTTGTGTCCCTTCACAAGGGTACATCAGTGTAGCACCATTTACTGGGCACTTACAATGTAGCACATAGGGTATTGTGTGCTAGACCCCATTTTATTCTTATCACAGACTCCTACTCCCATCATCCCATTCTACAGATTAACAAGAGAGGCTGGAGTAGGAACTAACCAGATCCAAGGTCACACACATCCTGGAGATCTGACTCCAAAGCACAAGCTCTAAACCAGTGGTTCCCGTTCCCCATTGATTTAATTGGTCTGGAGGTGGGGTGGTTGGGTTTCGGTATTTCTTTAAACTAAGCTATAATTTATATACAATAAAAGGCATAAATATTAATTGTCCAGCATGATCAATTTTTACCTCTGTAACCCCTTCTCAAATCAAGAAGAGAGAATATTATTAAAAGTCTAGAAGGTTCCCTGGTGCTCCCTGCCAGGCTGTGTCCCCACGCCTCTAGGAGTGCACTGTTTTGATTTCCATCACATCTGCCCAGCTTTGCCTGCTCTAGAACTTCAGAAAAATGGACTCATGCAAAATACACTCTTTTTTTTTTTTCAAAATGCACTCTTGTGTCTCTGGTTTCTTTCATTCAACATAATGCTTTCGAGATTCATCCACATCGTTTGCATAATCAATACTTTGTGCCCTTTTTATAGGCGGGTGAGTATTCCATTGCATGCGCTTAGCGTGGGTACTCTGTGAGGCCCCTGACCTGAGAAGCAGGACCCTAAACCACTCTAGAACCCCACTGCTTTGCAGATGGAGACTCAGGTACTAGACCAAAAAGCCAGGGAAAAAGCACTTCTGGGTTATTTTAAAATTGGGTCTCTGTGTATAATGACTCCCGCCATCCAACGGGCTAGAGGGACTTGGCCCAGAGACGGGGTCCTCTGCCACTGACCTGACCCTCATGCCCTGGAACATCTCGGTGCTGGTGTGGAAGGGCAGCACAGTGGTGGCGCTGACGCCCGGACAGTCCAGCAGCCCCAGGGTCAGGCTCTCCATGAAGGCGAAGGCTGAGGCTTTGGACGTGCAGTAGTCGATGGCGCCGGGGATGGCGGAGAGTGCCAGCACGGAGTTCAGACACACGATGTGGCCGTTCTGCAGCTCCAGCATCCGCGGCAGGAAGGCTTTGGTGGTCTGAGGGTGGATGGGGAGATTAGTGTGCAGCAGCCACACCTTCCAACACCCCTCGACTTCCCCTCTCGGGGGGAACAGACCACCCTGGACACAGGCAGTCCTCAGCCACTGGGTTTTCCTGTGACAGGGAGGTGAGGGGTGGAGGCCGAGGGCACTGAGCCTCACATTTCAGAAAGTCCAGATGACTCCTGGAGAGCCTGTCATTCTTCTTGTCCAGCCACCCTCTAGACCTAAGCCCAAGGCCTGGTGAGCCTCTCCCCACTCCCCTGTAGCTCCCAGCCTCCCTGGAAGGGAAGAACATGTCACTAACACACCCAGGGCCGGCTCTGGCTCAGGACAACCTTACCCAGAACTGGCCCAGGGTGTTGATGTGCTGGGACTTCAGAAGGGCATCATCATCGCTGTCCATCAGGCTCTTCCCGTGGACCACGGCAGCATTGTTCACCAGGATGGTGATGTCACCCACCTGTGGGCAAGAAGGGGCCACAGGGCCATTAGGGCAGCCAGCCTCAGGGGCCTATACCTGGAGAGGAGGGACCTGGCCCTGGGCAGCCACATTGCCTCTCTGAGCATCAGTCTTGATTTGTAAGATGGGGCTAATAACCATACCAGGGTTGCTCTGGGGATCAGAAATAATTTATTGCACATAATACACCTGTCACAGAGAACACCTATAATAAATGAGGTTATTGTGACATAAACATAGTTAACATTTGCTGTGTGCCAGATATCTAATGGGGTGGTTTCTGCTCTCTCGGATCTCACTGATACACTCAGTCTAAATAGATAGCTGGAGTCGGGGGGATTTTCCCAGACGGCCATAAGACATTTGCTCTTTCTCCCCACCACCCCGCCACCCCAGGGTTTAGGACAGACACTCACAGGCCTAAACTTCCAAAGGGGACAACAGGTGATTTAGTCAGTCTGTGTCCCTAGTCCCTGCTCTCTGCAACACACACACACACACACTTGGACCAGCTTCACAGGAGAGTCCTCCTAGATGCCCTGCACACAGCCATTCCACCATCAGCAAAGCTCTCTCCCAAGCCCCATGAGACTGCCCCGTTTGGCTAGGATTCCGGCGGAGCTGAGGCCAGCGCCTCCTAGGCCGCTCACCTTCTCCCGCACCGCCTTGGCCGTCTGGTACACCTCCTCCCGGTTGCCCACATCACAGATGAAGTAGTGGCACTCGGTGCCCATCTGCCGAATCTCCTCCGTCGTCTCCTTCAGGCATTTCTCAGTCCGGCCCCACAGAACAATCTGGAAGGAGAGGACAGTGCTGAACAGGTGGTCACTAAGGAAGCCATCATGATTCAACCATTGCCATCAGAAATTCAGTATGTAAAGTAATTTGCCCCATGACTGCCATGATTCCATTTGAAGAGAGTGTGCAAAGTCACAGTATGACTTTTTAAAGGGAGGTCACCTACTCAGAAGGAAACTAAGAGTTTCTGAGCCCATTGATGTCCCACCGATGGATGCATGGTCCACAAGTCTTCCCTTTTTAAAATTTATTGTACTGTTGGCTGTGCTGGGTCTTCACTGCTGCATGCAGGCTTTCTCTAGTTGCGGTGAGCTCAGGCCACTCCTCATTGCAGTGTGCGGCTTCTCATTGCAGTGGCTTCTCTTGTTCCAAAGCATGGGCTCTTGGATTCTTGGGCTTCTGCAGTTGCAGTACTTGGGCTTCAGTAGTTGTGGCAGAACTTCTGGGCTCTAGGGCACAGGATCAATAGTTGTGGCCCACAGGCTTAGATGGGGCTTCCATGGTGGCTCAGATGGTAAAGAATCTGTCTGCAGGGCAGGAGACTGAAGTTTGATCCCTGGGTCAGGAAGATCCTCTGGAGAAGAGAATGGAATGGCAAACCCACTCCAGTGTTCTCTCCTGGAGAATCCTACAGAGGAGCCTGGCAGGCCATCGTCCATAGGGTCACAACGAGTTAGACACGACTGAGCAACTAACACTTTCACTTTTCACAGGCTTAGTTGCTCTACAGCATGTGGGATCTTCCTGGACCAGGGATCGAACACGTGTCCCCTGCATTGGCAGGCAGATTCTTAACCACTAGACCACCAGGGAAGTCCTTCACAAGGAACTTTCTTATGTATTCCTTCCAGGATGACATCTCCTGCCAGCCCCATTCCAGTGATTCTATCCAGTTAAACGTAGCAGCAGGGTTCTTCTGTACAATGTTCCAGAATGCTTTCAGTTAGGAGCAAGCTGGTCTTCTCACCTGAGGTCTAGAGCCTGGTGGGTGAATGGACTGCAAGGTTCTGGCCGTAAGGCGCCAGGAGACTAAGCAAAGCCTTCCCTTCTACCCAGCTGTGGTCCCAGGTGGAAGGAGGGTGGGGAAGACAGGCAGCCAAGAAAGAAACACGACCTCACCCCACAGGCAATAAACGTGGGGTTCATTACGCCAGGAGATGACCCTGGCGGGGCCAAGACATGAATTCTTAAAGGGAGTTGGACAAATTTATGAATGGCTGGCCATAAAAGGCTCAGAAGAAAGGGTGGGCTAATTCTCAACCTTGACCTACAGGAGAATGACACTCCTTCCCAAGACACGTCATTGAGTCCAGAGAGGCGCCTGTTGGTAAAACAGGGCTGGATGACAGGGAACTAAGAATCCCAAGATCCAGCGTAATCAGCACAACGGCAGCAAGGCTGGGGGCTGGAGAGAATCAGAGAAAGGAAGAGATAAAAGGCTCCTTGGGGATTAATCTAATGGGTTTCTATTTTTGTTTCTTCTCTTAAAAATTATCAATGAAATTCCTCCTTTAAAAATAAAACCCAACACGGAAACCCCGTGTGTGAAACCAGGAAAAGGAATAAATTACACGTCCAACTCCATGTTTTCTTACTTGAAAAGCCACACGTGAGAGCAAAAAGGCTGAGCTGGGAAGGTGAACATTTTCAAGTGGGTGATGGGTGTAACTTGAGTCACACCAGACCAGAATCTATTTGCTCTGCAACTCAGGACAGAGGAAAGTCACACAGACAAGTAGTTGTTGGTGATAACAGTTTATCAACTGTTTACCTTGAAATATCAGAACATTCACAATACCACACAGGGTGCAAAATGGCTGCAGCTGGTGGGATACACAGATGTGTTGATGGCTCCCACGGATTTGACTTTTTAATTAGAGGTTTTTTTAAAATTAATTTATTTATTTGGCTGTGCTGGGTCTTAGTTGTGGCACTTGGGAACTTTAGTTGCAGCATGTGGGGTCTAGTTCCCTGCTCAGGGATCGAACACAGGCCCACTGCATTGGAAGCATGGAGTCTTAGCCACTGGACCACCAGGGAAGTCCCCTTTATTAGAGTTTTTAAAACTTTTGAAATATTTCTTGAAGGAGAATAAGAGTGTTCTTTCTACTTCTGCAACATCTCTGGGAAAGCCCAATTTTAAGCCCCACCTTGTCCAACCACTTTATTTATTTTAATTGAAGTCTTGAAATACGGGAAGGGCTTTAAGAGGGAGAATTCCATCAGCCACCCTCCACGATGACAAAAGTCCTCCAATAGCAAACGGACTGCAATTAGACAGGCTCCAAGGGACATTTTCTTGTCTGTTGAACTAAAAACAGACTTCAAATATGTTTCTCCAGGAAAGGCTGGAGAGATTTCCTTCATGAAGAAGAAAGAGATAAACTGTTCAGGGTGTTCAGTCATCCTCCATCGTATCAGACCTCACCGCTGTCTTGTAGTCACTGTCATCCTAGTTTCCTCCCATCTTCCCTTGTTCCTCCATCCGTCTGTCCATCCATCCTTCCTCACATTCATCCACCCACTCATCCATCCATCCACCCATCCTTTCTTCTTTCTACTCACCCCACTCCACTCCACCCTACTCCACTCCATCCATCTAATTTCTGAACATGTCAGATTGAGGTGGAAGAAATCCTTGGCCTCCTTTCTTCTGCTCTGGTCCCTGCCTAATGCCGTCCCACCTCCAGATTTTCTGGGAACAGGACCCGGGGGCTTGAACAGTTCCCTAGTGTCTGGGCTGAGGACAAGAGCGGTACTTCTGGGACTCTGAGAGCAAGGAAGCTCAAAGCAGGGATGCGTACGGTTAGAAGGTACAGGGGTCCAGATACCTGGGAGCACAAGGAAACCAACAGACAGAGAACCAGAGAGGCAGAACCGTCTGCATAGCTGGAAGGACACCCTAGAGAGGAAAACAGGGACTGGACTGAGGGAGGTGAAGCAAAGGCTGTGCCCCACTGTCTTCCCTGAGTGGTGGACACACCCAGGTGGGATGCTGAGGTTTGGCCATTTCCTTTCGGGGGTCTGCTGAGGATGCCCCTCGTGGGCTGGAGGACTGGCCTCCTCATGTTCAGAGCCCCCATCTCTGACAGAGAGCTGGGAAGGGTTTCTGTCCTCCTCACCCCATCCCTCTGAGCCAGGAGCTCCCTGAGGGCCTAGATTCTGCCTTGTTCATTTCATATCTCAGTGTCCGGCAACGCAAGTGCTGTTTGTTCAGCGAATGAATGAAAAGTTCAGGGCTGCAGGTAGGAAGTGTTGGGAGGTGGTTAAGTAGCCTCTCTGGGGCTGAAATGAGGTCAGCTCCCTTGATTGAGCTGTTTAGAGTCCCAGAAGCTTCTACCCACAGGCTACTTAGACCAAGAGTCAGTGAGACCTGGGGTTTCACTCAGAACCTCAGAACCACCCTGGACTGAGCTGCGAGGTGAGGCCCAGGCCAGTGTGTTGCCCCTTGCTGCGTATCTCTGTGCACGTCTAATTCAAAGTGTCTCTCTCTGCATGGGTGGTTGTGTGTGCAGACTCTGTACTGCTGGGTGCTTCCTTGGGCCCATGGTGGATGCTCAGAGTTCCTGGGAAGCCAGGGACTCTTTTTCTTTTGGGGGGACTCTTTTTTTTAACATATTGTTTTTTATTTATGAACAAATTAAAAGAAGTCCCAGATGGCAGCAGGGGCAGCTGGGTTGCTGTTGCTGCTGCTAAGTCACTTTAGTCGTGTCCGACTCTGTGCGACCCCAGAGACGGCAGCCCACCAGGCTCCCCCATCCCTGGGATTCTCCAGGCAAGAACACTGGAGTGGGTTGCCATTTCCTTCTCCAATGCATGAAAGTGAAGTCGCTCAGTCGCCATGGACTGCAGCCTACCAGGCTCCTCTGTCCATGGGATTTTCCAGACAAGAGTACTAGAGTGGGGTGGCATTGCCTTCTCTGGCTGAGTTGCTGACTTGCTTACAAAGGAAGTCTGTGGACAGGAATGGGTGCAACCTGACTCCAAGCCTAGAGACCCTTCTCTCCCACCCACCTTAGGGCCCTCTTGGCCTAAAATCATTGGTCCCAACCTTCTTTGACAGCAATTCTGCCCAGGGCAAGTTGCTGTGGTGGGGATAGTGTGGGGCAGGAAATCCCATCCCCAAAGGTAAGGCCAGGACTGCAGAGGGCCCAGGGCAGAAAGAGAGCAAAGGGGACAGGGACCCTCCAAGCTGAATGATTGGTCAAGGTTTGATGGGTTGACCACCAACCCATCAGGCTGGGCATGTTCCCATCTTAGGACCCAGGCACGTCTCCATGGTGACGGGGAGGCCCGGGCTGGTCACCCTGATGGAGACTTCAAGTAACTGAGTGCACCTCAGTGGGCGCACTGCAGCTGCTGTCCCTCCTCCTACTCCAGCCCCCTGCGGGGACCCCCCTGAGACCCCAGAGTCACTGATCAGGAACCTGGCAGGTACAGTTCAGTGGGTGGCCCAGGCGGCTCCTCACCAGAATCACTGGGGGTGACCCCAGACACTTAACAGGACAGGGGTCCCACCAGGTGCCCGAATGAGGCTGAGGCCTGGGCAGGTAGGAGGTCTGAGAGGAGCGTGGGGTAAGCCTCCCGGGGGACGGCAGATTTATGAGCCAGGGGAACCCAACACGGCCTCCTCTTAATTAACTTCCAGGACAGAGAGCAGCTGGAGAGGGTCAGCAGCCCAGGATTTACTCCTAAGCCAGGTTTACAAAGAGCGAGCTCAGAGAGGCTCGACACCTTCTGGCCTCCCCTCCCCTTGGGGCAAAAGGCTAGCTTCTGTCCCGGAGAGGAGGAGGGAAGCGGAGTGAAGACCTCTGGCCTTCCAGGCCTCGGGGTCCCGCCCTCTTCTCCCGCGGCACTGCCCTCACAGTGAGCCTGAAACCCCCCAGCAGCCCCCGAAGCTGACAGCTACCATGATCCATTTTTTATGGCTGAGAATACTGGCTCAAAGGCGCTAAGTTAGCTTGTCCAAAGTCACGCTCAGCGAGTGGTGGGGGCA